AGGCGGTGGGGGGAGAGGGATAACAGCTCACACTTCTTCAGCCCAGGGAGGTTTACTGAGCACCTTACCAATACGATCACTTTTGACCCTCATGACAGACAGATGAAATCATTATTATTACTCCTCATTTTCCAAATGAGGGATATAAAGCCAGAGAGGTTGTAACTTCCCTGGACTCATCTAGCCAGTAAGCATCTGAAGTGGGATTCAAACCCAGGCCTTCTTGACTCCAAGCCGTGTTCACTATCCACCACCCCATATTTCCTCCCTGAAGATGGAAATAATATTCATTCAAAAACCTTAGAGACTCTGCTGGAAATGGAGCTGGGCACAGGAATGCTGTCCTGATGCAGAGCTGAACACAGCAGAGAGGGTGTTGGGCTCCTTGAAGTCAGCAAGGCCTGGGTTTGATTTCTTCCTCTGGACAGTGGTTCTGGGGCCTTGGACAAGCCCCTTTAGGACCCTCCACTTCTCCAATCATTGGCTGGGTGTAATAATCGCACTTACCTCAAAAAGATTTTGTGAAGTTGAAATGAGATGGTGTTTGTGAAGCCCTCTGCGAACCTCAGAGTCATTGGATTCTAGATACAGAGCTGGGAGGGGCCTGGGAGGCCACCCATTTTAAAGCCCTTTACTTTTCAGAGGGGGAAATTGAGTACCTGGAAAGAAAAATTATTTGCCCAAGGACTCATAGGTAGCAAACCTCAGAAACAAGACGTGAACTTAAGTCAGAGAATTATACATTTGGAGCTTAAAAGAATCTTAGGAGATCAAGAAATTCTTGAGTCCAACCATTAATTTTGGAGTTGAGGAGACTAGTCCCAGATAAATGAAGTAACTGCAAAGTCGGTGCTATTCCCACTGTCCTGCACTGCTTGCCCCTGGGCTAAAAAAAGTGGAATCATTCTTGCCTGGTGGAAAAGCCTCAGGCTCCTAGATTCTGAGATGGAAGAAAGGACCCCAGAGGCCATCTGGTTCAACCTCTTCATTTTACAAATGAGGAAACTGAGGACCAGGGAGGCCAAGGTACTATATGAATGTGTTATCATCATTATCACTAGTGAGACACAAGGAAAAAGGTTCTAAGCTCATAAAATATTAATTAATAAATTAACCTAGGTGGTCATGGGGCAGACTGTGGGGACACCCGAGCATCCTCCCACGGGGCAATGCTCCCACGTGCCCTGACGTCTTTTCAGTTCCACATAGGAACAAGTCCATCATGAAGGTCCTTCCTATACAGATGTTGCTGCCCTCTAGGGGTGAGAAGCGCATTCGTTTCCTAAGGCTTTTCTGGCTACCTAAAATCACCATGGCTAACTGCTTTGATGGAGAAATGAGGATGGATCTGGCCAGGGAAATTATGAGGCTATCACTGAAGCCAGCCTCCCTGGGAAGGAGGGGGCCCAAGGGGCAGAGAATGGGAGGACCTTTCTTTCTTTACTTCTATAAGCTCTGCTAACATTACGCTCGACATCCTGACTGTCGTAACATGCTGCTGACTCTCATAGAACTTGCCGTTGGCTATTAGCCCCAGATCTCTTCTCACGTGGATGGCTGTCTAGCCACATCTCCCCATCTAATGTTCTTTTTCAGTTGATTCCATTTATTTTCATATCACATTTGTTTCTGAATATCACCATCCTCCCTGCAAAACTCGAGTCTTCTCTTATTAAAAAAAAATAAGTTAAAAAAAGTTCAGTAAAACCAACCAATGTTATCAGCCACATTTATGCAGTATTACATACTAAGATTCTTCTGCTTCTGCAATGGAGGCAAGCACATTTCCTGTGGTTTTCTGGGCCCAAGTTTGGCCATTATAATGATACAGCATTCAGTTTCCTTCTGTCGTTTTTTCTGCTTATGTTGTTGTAGTCGCTGTGCTGCACTTGTGAAATTGATCTTTTGAACCCCAGTATAAAACTTTACATTGAGCCCTTTCAATATCACCTGCTGTAATTCAGCACAAAGCTCTGGTCTCTCTAGCCCTTTGGGATCCCGACTCAGTCCCCGGGTGTGTTAGCTCTCCCTCCCAGGTTTGTGTCCTCAGCAAAGCACTACTCATGGTCTGTGTGCCCTTATCCAAGTCACTGACAACGATGTTGAGCAGCACAGGGCTGGGACAAAGATGCCCAGGGCATCTGACAGAAGGCTGCCTCCAGACTGACATTGATAGAGCTGTCAATGGCTCCTCTTGGGGTCCACGCGCTCTACCTGTTCCTCATTCACATAATCTTCTGTTGTCTAGTCTTTGCATATCTCTGCATTTTCCACAAGAACATCACACCTTTGCTCACTGCCTTGCTAAAAGCTATGTAAACTTGGTCCCTCCTTCGCTCCCCTCCCAGCACCACTCCAGTCACTCTGGATTTCTCCACTGTACGCCGGCAGCATTCTCACCTGGAAAATCACTCCACCCCTGCAGCCCCTTCCGCTGGTCAGTGATCTCTTCCCAGAACCTCCATCTGGAGGCAGTGCCCAGGCCAGCCGTGCTCTCTCCATCCTCCCCTTGTGACTCTGCTTCTGACTCTCCCAACGAATTCCTGGTTTAACATGGGAAGACAAGGCATGAAGGCAGCTGAGTAACAGCAGCATCAGATGGAGAGTGAATGCTGCCTACGGGACCAGACTGCCCACTAAGCCCCTTCCACTCAGGCATAAGCTCCCTGGGGATGGAGACCACGCACGTTCGGCTTTGTCTGCTCTCCCCAGTGACTGTCACAGGAGACGCCCCACAAATTCTTGGCCAAAGAACCATGACCGCCAGAATCAGTCCCCTCACATCTGGTCTTCCCAGTGAATTGGAAGCCATGGTTGTCATTGCCTGTGCTCTTCCAAGAAGGCTTTTTGGGCCTGAGACCGATTCTTCTTTGCATGTAGGCATTTGGACATTGTTGTCCTCTTGTAATTGTTGTGTTCCCACCTTCTCTGTTACCATAGTAGCTTTCTATGGTCAGGGCTCTGTTTTATTTTTGCTCATTTTTAGCCTATTTCATAACTTTTAAAGTTGAGCTCTGCTCCTGGGACACAGGGAACACTGCCCCAAGCTTCTTGCCCTGGCGGCCAGGGGTCTGGTCACTGGCATTCTGCACCAGGACCCCTGGGGCTGGTGGCTCGTCCACTGCACGAGACTAGCCAGGTAGAGTCGTACCCGTTGTGCCCTGGGTTCCGGGGCTGGCAGTTTGCCGGCTGCGTTGGGGCTGGAGGCTTCACAGCTGGCCTGCCGAGCCAGGACTGGGGCCTCGGTTGCTGATCTGTGCTGCGGCCAAATGTGTGCTGTCTTGCCCAGACGCTGCCTGCACTGGGCTGTGCTCCCCTTTTACCCAAGTGAGACAGACCTTTCCCGAAGTCCTTCTACATTATCCTGGGCTGGAGAAGTGTTTCACTCTGTCTTTTTCTGGGGTCTGTTGCTCCTGAATCTGTTTTTTGATTTAACACTGTTTCGGAGGAAAACTGGTGAGAGTTTAGGCAACTTCCTGGCTTCTCCCCGCCATCTTGGCTCCGCCTCTTGTCATTAGCTGTGTAGGGGAAAACAACAGTTACAGCTTCAATCTGGGTGAGACCTCAGAAGGGAAATGTTGGCTGGGCGGGGAATTTGTCAAAGCCTCTTTCTGAGATAAAATACTGAACCATTGTGGATGGTTCCTTTGTATCTTGGCTCCTCCTCAGTGACTTGTACGATATCTGGCACACAATAGGTACTTAATAATGTTTGTTGGTTGATATTGAAAACGTGCTCTTGTTTCCCCAATTCAACTGTGCAAGGCACTGGGGAAGCAATGGAGAGAACACGGAGCTTGGAGTCAGAGGGCCTGGGTTCAAATCCCATTGCTGCCCCACATCAGCTATATGACATTGGAGCCGCCATTTCACCCCTCTGGGCCTCAGTTTCCCAATATGTAAAATAAGGAGGTGGACATGGTGGCCTCAGAGATCCCTCCCAGTTTGAGGTCTATGGTCCTACGGACGATCTTTTGTTCTCCTTGGTTTTAGTTCTATGATATACAGAGAAGTATTCAACCACAAAGGGAGTGAAGGGGCAAGGAAGGGACAAGATAAGGCACCCTCAGAAAGCTTGAGGACATAGATAATACTCTCAGGCGTTGGGGGACAGGGAGAATGAGATCATAGAAGGCTTACAAGAGGAGGTGGCCTCAGGCTGAGCCTCGAAGGCAGCCTCCATTTTGGGAGGCAAGCAGGAGGCATCAGACTCCCAAGGCAGAAGTGGCTGGTGGTCCGTGCAAGTGAACACAGAGGGGCATTTGGCTCCACCTTTCTGTCTAACCCACACCCTTTCTCTGTCATCCTCTGCCTCAGTGTCCTCTGGTTGAATTCCAGGCCTCAGCTTGTGCTCTCTGTCATCTCCACGTTCTGCCTTCTCCCCTTCCACCATCGAGGTAGAGGTTCTTTACTTATTTTGTATCAGGGACCTCCTTGGCAGTCTGGCAGGATTGTTTTTAAATGCAGCAAATAAAATACGTAGGATTATAAAAGGAACCAGTAAAATTGAAATAAAAATGTAATGCTTTCACATCCATGTTCGTGGACCCCCTGAAATCTATCCATGGCCCTCTTGGTGGTCCATGGACCTGTGGTTAAGCACCTCTGACCTCGAAGGTCCCTCACCAGCCCAGCTTCCTCCTCTTGGGTCCAGCTATGACTGCTGGCTAGTCACTTTGGGCTTGCCAGCTTGGGCAGTGAGATATGACAAGACAAGGCACTGTGGAGAGGTTTGAGTATTCATGAAATCATGGCATGGTCTACAACGCAATCTTGTTAACAAACCAATCACATAGGAGGCTGGTGCTGGCCAGGCAGGAGCCACTTGAAGAGGAGGAGGGGTAAAGATTACCCAAGTGGAGAGGCATTTTCCTGGGCTTCAGAGCTGCCAGTCTGCATGTGTTCTCTCTCTGTACAGGTAGCCTCCTTTGGATCCCTTCTGTCCATCCTTGAGGACTCCTCCACATCTTGGCCCAGTGACTCCTGCACCACCACAGAAAATGGAATCCAAAGTCTCTGAAGGGGGCCTGAATGTGACCCTGACCATCCGACTGCTCATGCATGGAAAGGTAAAAGGCATTGAAGGGGAGTGGGGGCAGGGCTCCCATTTTGTTTGCTAGCTGCCAATGTTTCAGAAACCAAGCACCAGAAGGCACAGGGAACTCTGCCTCTCCCCAGGGCTTCCCCCACAGGACACACCCCTATAGTGCTCACTCTTTCTCTGCAAATGCACACACTCCTTTTACAGGGGCATTAAGATGCTTTTTCCAAATAAGAAAAAGCTTAAACCTGATTTGCTTGTGCTCTGAGAGCAGACACTTGGTGGCCTGCTTGCCTATTAGGGCTGCCGTGTTGTTGGGGCTCCAGAAGACCTTACTTCACTCATCACTATTTGCTGAGTCCTTTACCTGGTCCTTCCTTCTCTCCATCAGCACGATGGATGAAGATTTTAATACTTGTCTGGAGGCTTCAACCTCTTATCCTTTTAAACATTTCCCTCACTCTCGTATCCTCATTCATACTAAGCTCTTACAATGACTTAGGTCTCTTAACCCCTCCTCATATCCATATGGCCCATTTCCCCAGCACCAGCACCAACACCACTACTTGCTCTGTCTTCACTTGCCTCCAGAATCCCAAGGATTGCCAGTGTAATAGGTAACTAGTTATTCATCTATAATCCCTTGCTCCCAGACCATCTGCCATCCCCAACCTGCAAGTAACCCTACTCTCTGGTTGGGTCACTTCTGTTCTTATCCTCCTGAATACCACTGGAGCAAGCCATCATTGTTAATTTAGTTGACCCACTCTAAATTCTTGAGACATTACTTCAGCTGGGTCCTACTACTGTCCCAATCTACTTTTATCAGCTCCTTTTTTCACTTGGCATAGTGACTCTTTCAAATATTTCCTTCCCTTCTTTAACCACAAATGAGAGCCCTATCCCTCCCCCCTACAGATGGATAGCTTTGCCTCCAACTTAGAGAAACAAAAAACCTCAAAGTTGGAAGTGAACTCAAATGTTATCTTCATGGGAAAGATTGAAGTTCCCACCTCCATTCCTCAGACTTTCCCAGCATCCTCTCTCCTTCCCTTCACTCTCTGAAAGAGGTATCTCTACTTTTTCCTAAGGCTAATTGCCCTTTCTATCCTTGAATCTGTTCATTCCTGCCTCTTCTAGGACACTGATCCTTTCTCTTCCCAACAGTACAGAAATGTAAGTTCCTTGAGGGCAGGGACTGCTTTGGATTTGTCTTTGAAACTCCAGTACTATGCTCAGTCCCTCGAATGTAACAGGTTGGTTGAATTAAATTCCCTTTCCATTGACATCTTTCCATCTGCCTACAAACATGGTTAGGCCTCTCCAATCTTTTTTAAGTCTTCTCTTGACCCTTCCATCCCATATATTCTGCTTTCTTTTCACTGCTATCTTTACTGCTGTCTTTCCTTCACTTCCTCACTATCGGCTCTCACTTCCACCACCTTGGACACCTTAACGTGTTGGACACCTCTACCTGTTCTCTCTGAGGTCTCTTACAGCCTTCCAATGGCCAGAATCTTTCTTTCAATCTTCTAAGTCCTTGGCTTCTCTGAAACTTCCAGCCTCTTTCCTATGGGATACTCTCTTCTTCATTGGCTCTCCTGGTTCTCCTTTCTCCCTGCTGGCTCCTTCTCAGTCTCCTCCATTGTTTCCTTTCTCTCTTCTCAACTGCTTCAGTTTGGTCCCCCCCCCCAAAAAAAAAAATTCTTTCTCTTTATTGTCCCTTTTGACAATCTCATTCCCTTCCATGTCTTCATCTGCCGTGTCTTTGCGGATGATTCTCAGATCTCTATATCCAGCCCTGACCACTTTCTGAGTTCCAGACCCATGTGTCTAGTTGTCTATAGGACATTTCTGGGTTGCCACAATTCACCCAATTCCCACATTCATGACCATGGGCTTATCTTTGGCTCTCCATCACCACCACCCTCACCTCTCCCATCGGAGAAGTTACTAGGTCCCTTTGATTCAGCGATATTTTTCAATCTATCTTCTCCTCTTGACCATCACCACCTACCAAACTACTCTATCAGCCTTCTCCCAGTTATTTCCTTTGCTCCTTTCGCACTCCACCAATTTATCCCTTATAGGACTGTTGCAATAGTCTTACTCACAAATTGAGGCGGCGTGACATGGCAGAGATAGCGCTGACTTTGGAGTCAGAGAACCCGGGCTTTAACCCCACTTCCACTACTTCTTATTTGACTTTGAGCAAGGGACTTTACTCTCTGGACCTCAGTTTCCTTATCTGTAGAATGTACAGAATTGAATTTGATGGCCATCGATGCTGCTCCTAGCTCTAAATCAGGGCCCTAGGATTGTACTTTGAGTCTGTTACTCCTTGCTCAGAAAACTTCAGCTGCTCCCTATGGGTTCCTCAGAAATATTTGCCTCCCTCTGCCTGGCCTTTGAGGACCTCCAGGATCAAGGACCACCACCTCTCCATCCTTGCCACAAATTATACCCTTGTTGGTACTCCAATTTCCCAACAAATTGTACCAATCGCTTCTTCTCAGGCTCATGTTACAGTGCTTACTATACCACGCTCTTGCTCGGGCTGGTCCCCAAGCCTTGAATGCCTCCCCCTTCTCCATCTTCACCAGATGAGGTCCTTCTCATCCCTTGAAGTCCACCTTTAAAGTCCTTTTTTTTTTTTAACAAAACTTTCTTTGATCCCCCTAGTTGGTAATAACCTTCCCACCCAGCCCTCTCCCAGAACTTTGATAACTCTGTAAAAAATGTAACATTGTACAGCACACAAGTCTCTGTTAATTCTTGGCTTCATGAGGGCAAAGGCCGTGTAGTATTTGGACTTGGTATCTCCCTCAGGATGTAGAATCGTGCTATGCACAGAGAAGGCATTTAATAGATGCTTGCCACATTGTATAGTATTGCTCCATATCTCATCGACATGTTGTAAAAATCTAATAAGACCGAGTTGAGAAACATCTCTGATACTTTCCTGGAAGGGTGACCCGGACAGATACTTTGTCTAAAGCCAATGCAATGAGCTCCTTTAATTTTTGTTCAATGTAAGACAAATACCTTTTCCTCTGGCTGCATAGAATAGGAATCACCGCATGCTGAAGAAAATTATGCCAATTATTAAATGAATCAGGTTTCAAAAAGCACAGTTTTCCTTGGCTGTCTGGGTTTTGCTCTCTGGTGAAATGCCTCAGGGCTAAGATGTACAGATTGTTGATTTTGTCCTTACCAATGACATCAGAAAGGTGATGTCTTGACTTGCAAGTGAATTGGATTTAAGTGAGGCAGGGCTGTGCAAAGTCCCCAGCCTCACTCTCTCCTCTGGAGCCCTCTGGGTCCAGTGGCAAGACGTAGATCAGGATGACTGAATGTGGCCCCAAATGCAGTGAGACCTTGGCCTTTGTAAGCTAAGGTCTTTCCCATGTCTCAGTTTTCCTGAGACAGTGTCCATTTAGTGATTAAGACTAGGTAAGAGAAAAGAAAAGAAAAGAAAAGAAAAGAAAAGAAAAGAAAAGAAAAGAAAAGAAAAAAGTACAAATCAATAGAAAAACCAAAACACTGACCTACCAATCTAGAACAAAATGGAGACAAGTCAACGCCTCTTGGTTACTATCAGCCATGTGCTACTGTCAGTGCCCCCCCCCCCCCCCGCTGCTGGCTGTGAAAGGACTTGGTTGGGTCATTGGAGTGGAGCAGCGTAGGGTGGTCTCAGAAGTCCCTCCAAAGACACAATTGATTTTAAGGTTATGTGAACATAGAGGGGTTTTAAGCATCCTTAATGTGAGGGAAGAGGGATTCGTTTTTCATCACTGACTCCTTCCACATCTCCCTAAAGGTCTCATATTTACATAGAGAGCATCTCATGAACAGTTCATCTGGAAAACAGTCAGCTGCTCGGCTTCTCTAGCCCGATGCGCTCCCCTGAATCCACGCTGTTTACAGACCTTGTTAGAACATGTGCAGAGGCACCTGGGGAAGCAAATTGCTACTTATTCAATGGGCGCATTCATTTTTCTGGAGGTGGGGGGAGGAAGATGAACACTGTGGGAAGGAAAAGAAAGTCATTCCCCTGCTTTGAATTCCCTGAGTCCAGCTCCCTGAGTGGCATCTCATCTCTGCTCCGGCCCCGGGGTCTGAAGCCTCATTTTTTTTTCTCTTTTTCTGCAGGAAGTTGGAAGCATCATCGGGAAGGTAATTATTTTGTGGAATGTCTTCCTTTATCTCTATGCTTCCTGATCCAGTAATGCCAGATTATATTAATCGTGAGCACACTTTGGGTAATTGGTTGTCTAAAATGGCAGCTAAAAATAATCTTTGGTTTTGTAACAAGCCCCGATGTCTCCAAGAGCCCCCGAGACTCTTGTGGCTGCAGAATCCACCCTCTCTCCTGCCTGCCCTCATTTTAGACCACATCACAACCATCCTGTTCTGCTTGCTTTTAAAAAACAAGAAAGGAGGAAATCTGATAACCTCCCTGGTCATTAAAGCCTCTTCGACAGTGACGCCCCTCACGGGGAACCTAAACTAGTCGACGCCGTTTGGTCTTGCCTTGTTCTCAGGACAAGCTGAGAGTCCGTGGCAACCAGCGTCTAGGTACGATCTTTGACTGGGGGGGTCACACCCTCAGCCCTAACCGATCTCAGAACCAGGCAGCATCTGGTGGCTGCAGAGCCGGCTGAAGGGCCCCTCCCCAAGTTCAATGTCAGTCTGGCAGGCCAGCTCTGATAAGGTGCCCTAGGCATCGATGCTTGACCCAGTGCTGTTTTTGGAAGGTTGACTTTCAGTGACTCAGAAAAAGGTGGAGGGGGCATGCTTATCAGATTTGCAGATGGAATAAAGCTAGGAAGGACGTTCAACATCTTGGAGAGCAGAGTCAGAATGCAAAGACCTCTCTGCAATCTGGGACGTTGGGCCAAATAAATAAGATCCTAGGATGATAGGAGGCCACTAGGTGGCGCAAATGCAGCCTTACTTCCTAGCTGTGTGGCCCTGGGCAAGTCACTTCACTCTGTTTGCCTTAATCCACTGAAGAAGGAAATGGCAAATCACTCCAGTAACTTTGCCAAGAAAACCCATGGATAGGAGAGTCCACAGGGTTATGAAGAGTCGGACATGACTGGACCACAGCAGGAGGATAGGGTTAAGAGCCTTAGAGGTCATCAAATCCAACCCCCTCATTTTACAGTTGGAGAAACTGAGGCCCAGAGAATTATGTGACTCATGTAAGGTCACTCAGGTAGTGAGTGGAAAAGCCAGGATCAGAATTTAGCTTCCCTGACTCTTAATCTAGTATTCTGTCTACTATTAGTGATGAATGTATCCCTTTAATGACTTCACAATGCACGTTCCAGGATAAATAACCAATCCATTTGCCCCTCCACCCCACCAAAAACAAAACAAACAAACAAACAACAAGCTCAAAGTGGGAGAGCAGTGAGATATTGCAGTGAATTAGGTTAATGAGACCTCAGGCAACCTTAGAAGGGACACAAGAGCCAGACCCAAGTTGCTTAGTGCAGAACATCCAGAGAAGGGCAGCTGGGATGGGGAAGGGCCTCGATTCCTGCCACAGAAGGAATCTGAAGCAAGTGTGGAGCAGTGCACAGAAGAGAAGATGGGGAGGGCATGGCAGCTACTTCTCCGTCCCAGAAAAAGAGAGGCTTGCTCTGCCTGACCTCATGGGGCAAAGCCAGGAAGGATTGGGGGAGGGGTAAGCTGCTGGGAGGCAGATTTAGACTCAAGGTCAGAAAAGCAAATCCTAAAAGTGAAAGCTTTCCCAAAGCGGAATAGGCTGCTTCTGGGACAGGCGGTCAGCTTCCCTCACTAGAGTTCTGACCATCAGCAGGGGCTGAACAGCCAAGCAAAGTCCGCTAGCGTTCATTAACCACAGTGCCAAGATCCAAGCAAGAAGAAAGACGGCCCCTGCCCTCAAGGAGCTCACATTCAAACTGGGAAAGAGTCTATAAAAGGAAGCTTGAAAGCCTAGAGGAAGGGGGAGAGGGAAAGAAGTCTAGAGACCCAGACAGGATCAGAGACGTGATCATGGCCGGCCTGGGCAGCTTCCTTAAAATGGAGACCAGGGGGAGGAAAAGCTGCTGGGTCACACTTGTCTGGGATGGCAGGTCGCACAGGGGATTCTAGGCCAGGGGCTGGAAGCCAGGGTCCTGGGGTCTCTAGGGCCCCCTGAAGCTCAGGTTTTGCCCTTGATTTCTCACTTCCTCCACACCAGCAAGGGAGGCTGAGCCGGGCTTAGCACATAAGGCTGCAGGCGCCCTGTTCAGAGCACAAGCTTCTCGACTGACTGTTTCCAGTGAGGACAGAGAGCATCCTTGCCTCTGCAGAGCTCGGGGTGGGCCAGCAAGGGGGGACAACCCCCCTCCCATCCCCTCTCCAGCCTTTCCTCCTTTACTGGAGCCTGACCAGTGAGGACCCGGCTCTTGTTTGCCAACAACGAGGTCAACACATGCCGCTGGTCAGTCTTGCTGAACATTTTCCCCTCTTTTCATTATCCTTTATTAGAAGAGCTAGCTCTCTGGGAGGGCGAGGGGAGGGGTAAATTAGGAAATGAAGATAAAGTAAAAAAGAGAGAGGTGAATTTTTAAGGAAAAGGTCAAGCCCTCCAGCTGCCCTCCTCCCAGACCTGCCTCCTGCCAGGAGTTCTTGGGCCCGCAGGGAGTGATAATCAGCAGGTGCCCCTCCCTTTATGAGACAGAGATAGTGCCCCGGACACCATTGCCTTCCATTACTGAATGAGAGACAGGGGCCCCAGTGGGGTGGGCAGTGGAGAAGCTGCCACCTCTCAGCAAGAGGTGGCCTGAGGGTGTCAGACTGGGCCCCCAGGCAGCATTCCAGTTCTGGTCTACACTTTCCGAACTGTGGGATCACCCTCTTCATCTAAATTTTCCCCTTTCCTCCTCGTGGAGACAAGAGCAATGTCTTTGATGATGGCAAATCCCCAACCCACTTTTGGCGGGAGGAGCTTGCCTGGGGGCCGGGGGACTTGGGCTCCTGTCCTGTCCCAGCCCAGCTTTCCAGCGTTGGACAAATGCTCCCCTACTTGTTGTGGGCCTCAGTTCCCTCATCTATTAAACAAGGGCATTGGCCTGGACTCAAAGGGCCATGATCCTGGAATGGGGCCACAGCCCTCATCCTCTGCATCCTGTGCTCTCAGAAGGCAGCTTGGATTTCTCATTTGGAAGGATCTTGGGGAGCTTTGGGGGAAGGACCAGGGATGAGCATGACCCAGGAGTGGTACACAGTCTAGTTTCCACAGCTGTTGAGACAAAGCACCATTCCTGGCCTGTCCGCTCACATCTGCCTTGCAGGTCCACATTGCTTCAGGTTCCTGAATGTCCCGGAGTCACATCACAGGAAGTCTGCTTTCAAACATCCAAGCAGCCTCACCCTCAAGCCCAAGGAGGGCCCTGTAGCTTCCCCATCATCAGTGCTGCCTTCACTTACATGCGGGGAGCCCTTCAGTGTTTACAAAGCACTTCACATGGATTACTACCTCCCAGGAGCCTCAACAGGTTCCTATCCAGACACTACACCTGCACTGTCCTCATTTAGAGACAAGGCTCAGAGATAGAATAAAGTGACTTGCCCAGGGTCACACAGAACGTTAACTTTGGAGGCTGGATTCTACCCCTGCACCAACCAGCTTTTCCAATGCTCCCAGCTCCCCAGATCTGCCCCGCAGCCTAGCCTTCAGGCAGCCCCATGTCTGCCTCAGTCCCATCAGTTCTCTGATGGGTGACTAACCTGATAATCTGAGGAATGCATTCAAGTGAAGGTGTTAATAGCTACGTGATAACGACTGATCCCCAGATTCTAGAGCAGAACTTGTTTTTCATGACCTAGAAGCATTGTGACTTTGGGCATAGCTCCACTTGGCAGAGAATGCTTGATAAATCTCTCTTTCATGCAGAGAAATTCATTTGAAAACAGGGGTACACACTTAACAAAATCTGAAATTAGTCAATAATCAAGAATGAATTAAGCACCTACTCTGTAGCAGTCACTATGCTAAGAGCGAGAGGCAAAAAATGAAGAGGGAACAGTCCCTGAGCTCAAGGAGCTTCCACTCCAGTAGGGAACACCTCATGGATAGCCATAGACAGTATGTGCACAAACTACAGGGCCAACCTTTAGGATGCTGGAGTTCCAAAGCGATTGGGCTGATCTACCCCCAAGTTTTGTTTGTTGCATGGAAGGTTTAGGGTTGCACCCAGAGCCGTAATTGCCACCCCTCCCTGAGCATGCCTGAGAAAGAAAGGAAGGGCTCACCTTTTTAGGGTTTGGGGTGCATGGTTTGCGGAAGTCTCCGTCGCCAGAAAGTGCTTTGGGTCCAGGGAAGGGCTCCCAAGTCAAGCTCAGTGGAAGGGTGGAGTCCAGAAGGGCGATGCTCTGGGAGAAGCTCAGAGAGGCCACTAAAACCTGTAGTGTACCCCTGCCCTGACCTAGATATGAAGGCCAAACCAAAAGGGAAAGACTCACTCATGAGAGACTCAGTTCTTCTACCACCGGAACTCTCCGCTGGGCCCTTTGGACCCAGACAAGGTGGTGAGTCAAAAGGCCCCGTTGCCCAGGAGAGGGACATGCCAGAGAGGAGAGAGGTGGGTAGACAGGTGTTGCCCCTTCTGGCTCTTGTATCATGGAGGTCACATTTCCTCAGGAACTGGGTACCTGATATCCAACTCTTCCCTGGGATTCAGGGGCTCACAGCACCCCAAAATTCAGTCAGGTCTACGGTGTACATTGTCCCATCCACCCCTCAGGGACAGAGCTAATGATGGTCAAAGCACTCCCACCCTACTTTCATGGGAGCTCTTCCTTCAGGAAAGCCCCACATCCCTGGGCAGCCTTCCAGGCACAAAGATCTCCAGCCTGGTACTCCACCACTGCCATGACGGACATTGGGGAATATTCCAGAAGACTGAAATGTGGATGTCATTGCTTCCTTCTGTTTTCTAACTCTCATTTCAGAAAGGAGAAACAGTGAAAAAGATGCGTGAGGAGGTGAGTTGAGTCAATCCATTTCAGTTTTTAAGTGACCTTAGAGGGAAGCCTTCCATGGTGACCCAGCCTGCATCCGTGGTCCTTCATCCACTGTGTGTGGTAGGGTCACAGACTCTGCTCTGTCGATGGGAGAAAAGGTAGGGGGACACAAGGAGGAGTCCCCTGATAGCCGGGGAGTCCCAGAATTCCTGGAGAGGGCTAGGATTGGCCACCTAACACACACATGTACCCACAAACATACACAGACTCACACATACACCCACTCAACCACACATACACATACACTCATGTACATACACACAGACATACACACATACACATGCTCACACACACATGCATACACACAGATTCATTCCCATACACTCACATACACACACAGACACAGACACACGCACACAAACACACCATTTGCACGGTGCAATTAAATAGGCAACTGGAAATGTCTCACCCTCGGCTCGGTGCCCTGGAAGTCCTCTCCAAGAGTCTCTGCTCCTTCTGCCGAGTCTCAGGGGGTGGTTCTCATTTATCTGCAGTGGGGAGGCTCTCCACATGCAATCCGGGCAGATTGGGCAGAATGGGCCTCTGGAGCTCTGCCCCTTGTTTGCTGTGAAAGGGAATTGGTAGCAAGCAGGTCTCTCTACATCTAAATTCCCTTCTGAGGATTGCCAGGCAGACACAGTACAAATATTTTTGCATTCATTTTCCCAAACAAGCCCAGACCAAGCGTTTGGAGTAGATGCCCTCTTTTCTAAATAAGATCTTGCACGCAACCCATGGGATTTGCTTCATTCCTTCTCCCAGAGTGGTGCCAGGATCAACATCTCTGAAGGAAATTGCCCGGAAAGAATCGTGACCATTACCGGCCCCACCGATGCCATCTTCAAGGCTTTCGCCATGATTGCTTACAAGTTTGAGGAGGTAAGAGCGTCCTCCCGCCCCTCCCACCCTGGCTAGAATGAACGCAGGCTGCTTGTAATGCCCTTTGTCCAGGACAAAGCCAAAGCCTGGGTTAGCCCGTGCTGAAGCCCCTTGCGACACCCAGCTTGCTTGCGAGTGCAGGAGGAGCAGGCGACTCGCGTCTGTGTTCATTGTAGAAGTCCCATTAATGCCGCAGGAAGGAAAAGGTCACACTTAGGAGCCTAGATCTAGCACTAGGACCAGCCTCCTCATTTTGCAGATGAGAAAACTGAGGCCCTGGGGGGTCAAAGGGTCAGACAGGTAGTGATAGTTACTGCTACGTAGTAACATAGGTCAGATATGAACCCAGGCCCGCTGACTCCAGAGCCTGGGTCTTGTGCCCTGTGCTACAGTGGCCGCAGGGCATTCCCGCTCCTCATCCCCTTCTGGTCCACTGAGTCTGGCTGGTCCTCAGGCAACAGATACAGTGTTCAGGGAGGGACCCATCCTGCTGGTACTGCCTACAAGGATCCTCTCAGGCATGGGCTGTTTCCCTGTGGAATTTGTACACCTGTGCCCGGCACATAGGAGGCCATTGACAAACACTTTTGGTTAATTGATGGACCAAAGGACCTCCTGCCCCAACGAGGTGTCAGAGGAGGACTCCAGTGTGCAGAGGACATTCAAGGGACTCTGCTGTGCCTCAGTTCCTCCTCGGTGTAAAATGGAGGAGGCGCATGGCCAAGAATAAGGAATGACTTGTGAAGCCCCTCAGACTCAGAGGTGATTCCTCCAACTCCATCCTTAGCTCCATCCAGGTTCTCCTTGGCAGCTTTCTAGGCACAATCGAGTCACACTCCACTGCCCACAATCAAACCTTCCTTTGTTTCTCTCTTCTTCCCACCCCCAGGACATCATTAACTCCATGAGTAACAGCACGGCGACCAGTAAGCCACCGGTAACACTGAGGCTGGTTGTGCCGGCCAGCCAGTGCGGGTCACTGATTGGCAAAGGAGGGTCCAAGATCAAGGAGATCAGGGAGGTAATGGGATCCCTCATGGATTCAGGCAGTTGTAAAGCTCCTCGCGATGGCGGGTCTGCCGCTCCGCGTGGAGGACAAACTTGGCGACCATCCACCTCCACGGGAAACAGAGTGCTTTTCCATCATTCACAGCCAAAGTCTAGCGCATCAACCAGAACTTATTGAACACCTGCCCTTAACACGGTGCCTGGCACATTGGAGGTGCTTGATAAAAGCTGATTGATTGATTGGCTGATTGAAGAACACACTTCCAGGTGTCATGAGGGGACACATATACACTCACACTCACACTCACACACACACACTCACACACTACACACACTCACACACATACACACACACTCACAATCACACTCGCACACACATACACACACTCACAATCACACACACTCACACACATACACACACTCACAATCACACACACTCACACACACACACACACACACACAGAGTTGAAAATCTCTTCCTTGCTCTCAGCTTTTACAATCAAACAAAAAAACCCCAATACTCATAAAACACACATCCGTGAACCAAAAAGGCCACTGAGCCAAATGCCCATCAATATGATGTGTCCCAAGGATGTGAGGTCTTGAGGATGGCAGAACAAAGGGGCTCATAAAGTCATGGATTTTTAGTCAAAGAGGATGTTAGTCTGAAGGAGGTGAGTGGGGGTTCGGATAAGTGAAAATGAGGAGAATGCTATTCACACACACACACCCCAAAGTTGAAAACTGGACTTGGGGAATGCCTCCTCCTGGCACATGATCTCAAAGCTGGGGAGGGACTCAGAGAGATGATTTGGCGGCCGAAGCCTCTGAGGCCCCTCTGTGACTGAGAATCCGGGATCAGACAAGGATGAAACAGAATCCCGAGTGACTCCATTCGTTAAAGTCAAGGTCCAGTGAGTTACAGGGAACCCTTATGGGCTTGAGCTGGACCAACTGGACATGTCAGGGAACATTGGTCCCTTCTCACCTTCTCCCTTCATGTGTCTCCTGGTCTTGATTTCTTACTGGGTACTCGGAATGTCGTTGGATGAGATGAGCCCTGGACTGCTGCTCACGCTGTATGATTTGTGGCAAATCGCTCCTTTCCAGGCCTCACTTGCATAATCCACAAAATGAGAGGCCAGAATGCCTTCTAGCTAATGCACAATAACCATCTCCTTCCTCATGACTTACTCAATTTCTCCACTTCCCTTGGCTTATTGGATGTGTGGTGGTTTCCTTCTTACTTCCCTTGGCATAAAGTTTGGGCTTTTTACAAAGGCCTTTTCATTCTTTCATGGCCTTGTAGACACATGGCTAAGAAGGCCACAACATTGCTCTCTATGGAAGAGACCAGAATGAGGCAGTGAAAAGAGGACCTGGATTCGAATCCTGACCACCTGTGTGACCTTGGGAGAGTCAATCACTCTCTTGGGTTCTGTTTCTTCTTTTATAAGATGGGATGGCTGGGTAAGATGACCTCTAAGATCTCTCCCAGCTCTAAGTCACATTATAGATACTATGGCCCTTATGATCCAACATTGTCCTTTATATCTCAAGCTTCTATCTAAACCCATTTCTTCTCAGTGTGTAATCATAGGAGATAAAATTTCATATATTTGGTGATGATCATTAACCCTCTATTAAGACTCCTCTCAAGACTGTTATTTAACCTTTCCCCATCTGTTCCATTTGCCAACTCACTTTTTTCTATTTCTACCACTATATCTTTACTCTATCTCTGTCCATCAAATTATAAGCAGCCCCCTCATCAGGACTGCTCCCTCAAATCAAGATTAAGGAAAGGAGCATTTTGTAATTTTTGTTAATATTTCAGAGGATAGCAAAGGTTGACATCGAAAGACAAATGGTTGTTTGGGAGGGACATAAAGAAAGCTGGTCATTTTGTCTTGCAAATCCAAGTGGACACGTATGAGATTTGCTAAAGACAAAACATACAGTGCACCTCTTAAAACAAAGATGGAGCTCTCAAGGAAATTGTTTGCCTGTTCATTTCTGCTGATCCAACAGTGTCCTTCTTTCTCTTTTTTTCTTCTTCCAATTTCCTATTTTTCCAGTCTACCGGTGCTCAGGTTCAAGTGGCGGGGGACATGCTGCCCAATTCGACAGAGCGGGCAGTGACCATCTCGGGGACCCCCGACGCCATCATCCAATGTGTCAAACAGATCTGTGTGGTGATGCTGGAGGTACAGTCTGTAGCAGTGGGGGTAATGTATAGCGGCTTTCAACCTAACAAATCTTACCCCTGCAAACCGCCGATCAGCTATTGATTGCTTCCATTGATCACAACCCATGGGCTGAGTCATTTCTCGTTTCCTGGTAGCATTCCTTTTCATCTTCAGACCACACCTTTGCTCTTAGGGTACATGAAGACATTACATTTAGGGATCTGGGATCAGATCACCTTCATTCATGTGTGTCTTCATCTTAGTCCATATGGGATATTGACAAGAATCAGCTGTAAATTTCAGTAAACTGTTGTATAGCCTCACTCTGCCTCAGTTTGAGGGCCTACAATTCTGCTTCTACCCAAACTAATTTAGCTTCGGAGTACTGGGGTTGGACCTAGGAGAGAACCAGTCAGTCTGCTTCTAGTCTGCTGAACCAGCATCTGCTTCCTCCTTGGTCAGATCTGGTGACCCAATGCCAAGCCCATTGTGGCTGCATTTGGTATCTTTCACCATAAAAAAAAACCTTCAAATATTTCATGCGGTTTGGGGAAAAGAAAAAATGTGTGGATTAAAAGCAAGCCATTCACCTTGGGTTTGGGAAATGGAGAAAACCAAGGAATCTTCTAGAAACTAGAGGGAATGGTTACCAGGAAGCTTCTCAGACATGTCTTGGTCTTATGGATGATAGAAATATGCGCACCAGAAATGGTATTTTAGGAGTAAAGGACACAGAATTCGAGGAGGGGGGTGGTTTGAGAATGAAGAAGCTCCTGAGACAGTTTCACAGTGAAGGATCTAACAAAGTGGGAGGAGGACTGTGGCTGGGATTCTGAAGTGGCTGGGCCATTGCATCTTCACTGGCTTAATGTGGGGGGGCACTGAGCACTCATTTTCAAGGCACCGTGGGAGACGGAGAAGGTGTCATATGTTCCTTTCCTCAAAGAACTGACAGTGAGGAGATGGACAATGGAAGAAAACCAGTCTGGAAATCACTGCAATCCAAGGTCCTCACAAATGCCATGGGAATTAAATGGGTATTGATGACCGAAGAAGAGAAATGTGGACTAATTATGGGACAGCAAGATGGTGCCCAGCGGAGGATTTCTGCCACAGTGGCCGTGCCAAGGGCCAAAGTGTAGGGGAAACATGGTGCTTAGGAAACTGCCAGACTTCAGACAAGAGGAAGTACTAAAGAAGGTGCAGCTCAGGCGCAGATGTTCCTCTCTCAGTCTTTGCGTTATTTATTCACTTGATCAACAGCAGCCTGAAATGGGCACTTACGGAAGAGAAGAGACCAAGGGGTGGCGAATAGGAAAGGTCATGCACCAAGCCTGTCACTATTTCCTCCGACTCCAGTGACCCTCGCAGCAGAAGAGAGATTCTGGGTGTTCTTGTGGTACCCCAAATTGAATGTCCACTGTCAAGGGGCAAGGATGTGATCTCGGTGAACTTGATTTAAGTCCTTGATGTATGAGGTAAGTAGTGAAGTAAAAAGGTCATGTATCTGCAGCCAATTGAATAAGGACAATCCAATTTTCACCATACTTGACATCTTTAGTTCTTCAAAGATGCCATCCCTCCTCTTGCTTGCAAAGGCTGTGACCCCTCTATGCCCAAGTCAATAGTCTTTACAAGATGTGGGTAAATAACAATAATACTAACGATAACAATAACAAAAATAGCTAGTGTCAAGGCTTCTCACGATGGACTCCCACAAAGTTAGCTCAGGTAAGACGCCTAGAAAGGCACAGAGAACTTCAGTGGAGGGACAATGGGAGCTTTGGTACTCTGGGTTCCAGAGAAAGCTCAAGGTTGAAAAGGGTGACATTTTCTGCATTATAAAGTACAACAAAGAAGTGATGAGTTTTAATACTTGCACTGTAACCAGCCTACCCTGACGTGGGCGCTTCTGATTGCTTCTCTCTTGAAAAATAACAACCATATAGTAAATGTTGAAATTACCATTCTTGGTTCACTCTCTCGACTCTTGAAAAAATTATAATAATGCTATTTCTGCGTGTGGCACTTTCTCCTTCTGTGGCCTTGGACAAGCCACCCCCACCCCCACCCCAGCCCAGGCCTGTTTCTTCGTCTGTACTAAAAGGGAGTTGGGCTCAGCCTCTCAGGCCTCCTCCAGCTCTTGGTCTGGAACCCTCGGATCCAGTTCTGAGCCAGTCTTGAAATTCTTGCAGCACCTGCACTTGCCTCTTTTAAGCCTTCCTCTGCGCCAAGGCTTTTAAAACATTAATTGTACTCTAAGTTGTTTTAAGGAAGATATTTGCCTTGAAGTTAATGTTCACTGTGTTACAGGAAAAAATAAAGCTCCTGCCTGTTTTCTTCCCTAATGTTCCCCCTTAAACCCCAAAGCAGGCGGGGTTTAAGTCCCCTGCCTAAGAAGGGGGACACTCTCAGGAGTCTCAGGCTGACCCTGCTGGACATTGGGCTGGTCTTGCTCAGCTGTGTCAGTCTGTCCTGAAAGACCATCACTGTCACCAGATTTCTTTTCCTCTTTAGGCAAACCATTACAGTCTTCCTAAAGAACATATGAACTAGTCCGTGTATATACTTGGATTATGTTGGCAGTGGATGAATTCAGAGTACTGGCCAATCACATGCATTTTATTCATTTTGATGATCTGTGATCTCCTCCAAGACAGTGCTCCCTCCACTGGGCCAGATCACAACCCACTCCCACCTTCTTATCCTGCCTCATCATTGCCTAATCCTTGAGTCCTACAAAATATCCATAGAGAATCCCCCCCCAAAGTCAAGAGTATCCATCTTCTGTTCCGCTCAATATGTCACGGATGCCACTGTCATTCTTGAGCTGTGCTTCACATGTGCTTTTCTCCCCAATGACTTGCCCCCTCCCAGATCCTGCCCTCCATGTCACTGCTTCTGAAGTGTGGGTCATTGTTGGTGAAGGCACAGCCTGCTTACATCCACCCTGAGATTTTCCATTGCCTTCTGAGTCATCTGCCATCTTGACTCTTCGAAAATCAGGTTGGTCCATAATTCCCTGACTTCAAGCATCACTATTAAACAGTCAATGAGTAAGCATTGATTAAACATTTACTAGGTGGCCAGCACTGTGCTAAGCACTGAGGATATAGAAGAAGATCAAAAATAGCCCCTGCTCTCAGGAAACAAATGCTAGAAGAATAACGGGGCTCAAAATATTTGTTTGGGGGCAAGGCAGAGAGCAACTTGGGATCTTTGAAAGCAGTGAGCAATTCCTCAAATGCCATCCAGGTTGGGCTCCCCTTCCTGTTCAGTTTTGGGTCCAGATCATGACCCCTTTGCAGTACCTATCTAAGATAAATGTACTTAAAGACCTCCCTGGGCTGCCTATATAGCTACAAGTCATCGGGCAATGTGCAGTTGTCATTCATTGACTTTTACCTGTGTGGATTGATAGGACAAGTTCTTTTGAGAGGCCATACTTTTCTTGAGGAGGTTCCATAGTTTCCTGGGACTCTGTACAGCCAGCACGTTGTTGTGGGAAAAGGGATCGTATAGAGAACCTCACTATCTATAGGGAGTGGTTCTTCCATTTAGGTAGGGTTGAGGAGAGAACCAGTCAGTCCATGGAGAACCAGGACATCCTTCACGACAATGGCAGACAACTTTGGTGAGCATGCACTCTCCTGTTGTATCCTTCCTTGATGTTCCAGTTACCTCTGTGGCTATACATGCCATAGATGCAGAATGAGATATTAATATATTTATGGGAAATGCCTAGTTGGAAGGAGAGTCTTCAAGATTTGTCAGTTTTACCAAGTCATTTTTTTTCTTTTTATAATCAACAAATAATAGAGTCAAATTGTGTGTTCTCCACACCTCCTCAGTTTAGTCAATTGTGCAATTGTAAGGATGCTGCCTATTATAGCAAAATAGTCTACAAATTTTGTTCCATTCTGATATTTTCATTAAGGATGCCCTCAATTTGTATAGAGACCATTCTTACAAACATTTATAGAGATAAAAAATGGACCAATGGCTCGATAGTTACTGACAGCAACTTTATCTTTAAAACTGATTCAAAGTTCTTCTTAAATTGAGCTGCCTGTAGTAGAAATTTCCTTAATATATATTTGGTCAAGTCAAGTTACACTTTCCTACTTAATTTTCTTGAGCACCATTATCCCTTCTCATTTTACCAAATTGTGTACCAAGGTGGAGGGGTTCGATGTGGTGGCTACTTTGCTGCCAATCATGAGAATACATCACTGTAAAAGTGCTAGCTGACATATTCCATTTCACTTTCATTTGTTGCTCTCCCTCCAGTTCTGTCTAATGCATTGAATATAATTTGGCTTAGCTGGGTCTCATGACAATTCTCTGCAGATTTCTTTACTTATCCTCTGTATTGACTAGCTTCTTTGTCATGGCCAGTGTTTTGTATCAGCTGAGCCTTTCTAAGTAGTGGTAATAATCAGAATCAATGTCCCTACCTTCATCTGTTCCCCATTTTTCATTTTCAACAGTTTGTTTAAATAGGTTGAATTGGGCCTGGTGATATCACACATACATCCACAGCCGTTTTTCCAGTTATTTTTGTTGTTGTTGTTGACAAGACATTTCCTACTTAATTTTGTTGTTATTATAGATATAGTCAATAAAGACCTTGGCTCTAACCAGAAGATGATTTGACTACACATTCAGCTCATCCTGAAATTATTCTTATATCAATAACCAATATTTTCTGTCTGTTAAGATAAAATGAGGTCTATTTTAGAGTGATAATGTTTAACACAGCCACATTCCAGGGACTTCCAGCTTTCTTCTTGAAGTATTCAGGATTTACAAGTGTGAGGCATAAGCCTTTGGTTTCCTTCATTTATTGGACCTAACCCTTATTTTCCAATGGACATTTGCCCCCATCAACTCAAGTGGTCACTTTCATATTAAAGTCACTGAATATTTTTTAAAATGTATTTTCTTTTCAATTCACAGAATAAAACAAGCATTTCCATAACACAGTATAATAAAAAAAAGATGATTGCACATGAAACTGCACATCTACTATGGACAACTTGATATTTCCTCCAAATATACAACAAAGTTACCATGGAAATTTCTTTTTTTTTCCTTTTTTTTCTTCCTGCTCTCCCCACCCTAGAGATGACTACCAATAGACACAAATAGGTATATATATAATATATATATATATAATTATAATTATTCTATACATACTTTTATTTATCAGTTCTTTCTCTGGATGCAGGTAGCATCTTTCTTCATACAGTCTTTATTTTTAATTTGTGTATTTAGAATAGTCAAAATGACTTAGTGGCTCCAAGTTGTTCTTAAAACAATACCGCTATTCCGATATACGACATTCTCTTGGTTCTGCTCACTTTGCTCTTCATTATTTTATGCGAGTCTTTCCATGCCTTTCTGAGATGATTGAGCTCATCAATTCTTATAGCATAGTAGTATTTTATCACAGCCACATACTACAACTTATTCAGCCATTCCGCAATTGATTGAGATCCCTACAATCTCAAGTTCTATTAGTGGGAATTGTTGACCTGATTTGGAAGATCTTGCCAAGGGCTTCATAGCATGTCTCTACTCTGTCCTCTCTAACCAATGTTGCACATGAGGTGCAATTATCTTCCTGGTCATTTTGCATATGACCATCATGAGCATTGCCAGGTGATAGCTCCAAGTGTCCCATGAAATGATATTTTCAGACATGTTGGAGTACAGGATGAAATCAACTCCACAGACTCCTTCCTTTGTCTCTTGGATCCATCTTTGCATTCAAACTTCATTTATACTGAGACTATTAAAAAAGATACTGGTCTTCTGACCCCATAATGTATCAACTTACTGATGATCAGACAAACATCTGACTTCTAGAGCACAATCACTTAATGTTTGGAGGCAATCTAAAAACCGTGATTCTTAACCTCTCTTTCCTTTCTATCATTCTACTCACCATCACTGTGGATGTTATGCTCAAAGAATTCAGAAGTTAGTAACTGACCTACTGGTAACCATCTTTGCACTTAAATAAGTTGATCTTGGATGACACAGACATTCTATCACCAGGATCCTACTTGAAGCCTAATTAGAATCTGCCATTGATAAGTCCACTACCATAGCCATTGAGAACCATGAGGTATGGACCAAATGAGGAATGAGAGGAAGACTTTTAGGGACATTCACTAAATCCTCTTGTTTGGGATTCAACTGCTCAAAATAAGAATAAGTATTTTTGAAAGTCTTACACAACTTGCTGCTTATGACAGTGTCAAAGAGAGTAGCAGAGGGGGTTTGATCACATAATTATAGCTTCCCAAGCCACAGAAGCAATATTAACTAATGGGAAAATGAGAAATCAAGAAAATTTTTCACCCTAGCTGGAAGAGCAACAGTTGCATAGAAAAAAGACTTTTATTATCCAAAGTGGGTCCCAACTGAGTGCTTTTGGCACAGCCAGCCATCACAATTGGTCACATTGCTATCTGCAGAGGAAGGTCTGCTAAGTGCTGTGGGGAGCTACAAAGGAAGAAAATCCTGTTTTTACCTTGAGCAGCTCATTAAAATGTTAAAAGGATAAACAGAAATGCCATAAAATCATTGAGTTGGAAGAGAAGCCAGATCCCAACTAGTTGATCTCCATGTGAATAGCAAAGAAGGTGGTGCAGACCAGCCCAACTTCAAAAAGTATATACAGAAATGGGACGGGCAGATTTCAAAAGCATTATGGGAAGAGGAAGAATAGTGGAGAGTCTGAAGAAGTGTGACTCTGTACCCCAGAAGTTGGCAGTCCCTCCCAATTCTAAAGCAATATCTTCCCTGAGAAGGATATAGAAGAGACGGTGAGGATGTAATTAATGGTTAAATCATGAAAACACATCATATCACGAAGGGAAGGGTGGCCAGGGGCATTGTAATGGCCCACTGACAAAATACTTAGACTTTAGAATGAAAAATGAGTTAGAAGGGAAAATCATAGATGCCAGACTGCCTTTCCTTTGATCTTTGATCTTGAGTTTCATGAGTCAGATTTTACTTCATAGAACCTTGGAAACGAGAAAGGTTAGACTTCTCTGCAACAAACCCTTATTTCAGGGGAGTCCAGGGAAAGGGAGCCCTTTAACAACCCACGTGGGTAAATGGCAGAGGCATTGATTTCAT